CTTCGCGACGATATGCGCCATTTTGCAGACTGCGTCTCGTCACTCTCCTCTATCTTGCTGAGCCATTTGCGATGCGGACGCGCTGCTCCATGTGAAGGACTGTACATACGGTCGCCTACTCGAAATCAATAAACGAACCGTTAGAAGTCATTCTTGAATCTAAATGGGCATTAGTGCTGGGGCTTGGGCGCTCATAACGCCCAAGCCCCAGCACTTTATGCTGTTTCAATGCAGCTTAATCGTATGTCTGTCCATATGTATCTGTGTGCGTATATTTTGAAAAGGGAATTCCATTTCTGGAACTATGCGGAACAAGCTAGCATCATATACAGGGTGTCCCAAAAAATGTATCGAACGTTTGATTGTTAATAACTTTCTTGTCACGGACTCTTTCGAGAAGATTCAGGTAGAAGCTTCAGGTACCATTTTGTAGTGCTGGCTTCAACTTAGATTTACAGTATGACGCAAGTCACCGATTGCTCTTCATTACTGTAGGATAACGGTAGGAACTTCTGGCATGTGTCGTCACTGTGAAAAAGTGTCGCTTTGAATAAACTCCTGAAAAAATTTGAAAACTTGTATAAAAGGGTTTTTGTCGACGCTGAGTTTAATAATCAACTTTGTACAAAATCGTGAAGTTTTTTGAACGATGTAACCGCATTTCTTAGCAATACCGAAAAAGCGGCCGAAACTGCTTCTGGCATGACTTCCTGAGCATTCTAATGACATGCAAACCTCATATTTAAAATCAGCAGTTCTAATTAGCCTAACCTGAGAGTTTTCAGATCGTTTTGTTTCTGGGCCGAAATATACTCTCCATAGCTTAAAACCTTCTTCAAAATTCCCACCGTAACCCTACAGAATGAAGAGGGACCGGTGATTCACGCCATACTGTGGATCTAAGTTAAAGCCTGCCCTACAAAATAGTACCTCAAGCTTTCGAAGAACTCTGTGCGAAAAGAGTTATTAGCGATTCAAAGTTTGGTACATTTTTTGGGACACCCTGTATTTTGCTGCGGGGAGGGTGTCATAGGCTACTTTCCGTTATCGATCGATATCAATTTTATCTGATTCTTTGCAAACTTTCAGTTGCGGGCTATGAGTTGTCAGAAGTTGGTAAGTAAGGCTGGATTTAAACTAAGTCGGAAGTTCTGGAACGTTCCGGAACTGTGCTGCATGCGCTGCAGCCGCCCGCATGCAATTTGAGCGGCGCGAATCAGCAATTTTCAACTTTCTTTAACTGTTCTGATTGTATATCTTGCCCATTTTTGTCTAATTCTTGCACCCTATTTCTTCTTGTGAAAAAGAGAACCCCGAAATCGAAGCGAGATTCGAGAACGAAGATTTTCCATGTTTTGTCGTGCTTAAAAAATGTGTTTTCCTTCGCGCGTTCCTTATTCTTAGTGAATCTTCTGTGAAACATTCTTTTTGTATTTCAGAATGTCGCTGAGTCCTCGATATTACGAATCGTTTTCAGGAAAGACTGTTACTACAGTCACTTCTGCGGAAATCGCGAATTTTCCTCGAGTTTTGATGAGGTTTGTTTTTTGGGTATTTCAGCACCATTTCTTTTCGCAACTCGTACTGCTTGCTCGTTCGTTTTTGATTATCTTTCCGTTTTTGATGAAAGAACTCCAAATTTGGAGAAATGTACACAGCTTCCAGCCTGATGTACATAGCGAATAACGCTCGTTCTTTTACCACTCTCCAAGCTTGGAACTTTTTAGTCACAAGAGCAAGCAGGATACAAGAATGAGTCGAAAACGAGCGAAATTTGCTACTGAAACTGTTGAGAAAAAACAAAAACTGCTTTTTTGCGTCGCTCAAAACCGCATGCGGGCGGCTGCACGCATGGAGCAAGTTCCGGAACAGTTCCAGCACATTGCGAGAACTAAGCTGGAACAGTTTCAGAACTTCGGACTCAGTATGAACCCAGCCCAAGCGCGTTGATTATAGAAACATAGTGGGGACAGGGTACTTGTTTAAGAACTGGGAGAAGGTTAAGGAAACGTGCACAAAACGAAAACGACAATCTTTCGTGTAATGTGTTACATTACCGGAGCCTATGCCAGCTGCTTACCCTATGAAGAAAAATTTTTCGGCTTCGTGGTTGCCGCTATTTCTGCTTTTTCAGGATCTTGAGGTTGTAGGTAATCACTCAAAAACTTTAGAAAAGATCCCGAAGAATTTTTCTCAGTACGCTCTTCACCTTATCGGAAAAAATTTGTTGCCTCCCTCTCTCTCTTAGAGGTTTATCTTGCTAGCAGCTACTTAGCAGTACCAATACAAAAATAAGAAAAATCAACAGAATTGAAGAACATCAACATTTTCTGGAGAAGTGTAAGAAGAACGTGGGAAGCATTCATTGAGGAGTGCATCAGAATCTGTTTTAGGGTTAGCTTGTTTATTTCAGAAAGTAGAGGCCTTTGATGTAAGCAGTCCAAATCGGATTATATGTGCTGCTGGCACTTAGAAGCACCATATCTTTATCTTCGTTGACGAGTACAAAAGTCTACCGCTGACAACAACCAGGAGTTGTTCGTCGAAAGTCCGCACACGATACAAGTAAGCAGGCGTAGTCACGTGCACAATTAAGATATTCTGATCACAGGGCATGCTGGACGTTACAGCAGTAATGGTAAAATGCAAACCATTATGAAAGCTAGAAATGATAGAGGTGAGATGCCACTTCCACTGGTGGTAGATCTATTCTCGATTTGCGTTGGTAACATTTGGATGAGGTCGAATCCGCTGGAGCGTAGGCTATGCCACAGATTTGCTGCTCCTAAATTAATGTGGTGATTTGCAGCAAACTCTAACTTATTTACCAAGCTCACCCTGGTCAAAAGCACTCTTCATCTGCGGATATGGCGAGATACTTAGGTAGCGAAGATTGTCTCCAGCTTCATCCCATGTTGAATAATTGTTGGTGGGAATCCTGAAAGATAGTTCTCAAAGCGGAATTCTGATCAACATTTTACATGAATTCAAAATTTCATTGCTGGAAGACAAAGTGTTTTTTGATTTTCGAAAGTCAGAGGGTGTAAACTGAGGGTTCCTTCAGTTGACACCTTGAAAAGTAAAACAATCATTATTAACGTTTGTGAAGTGGTTCACGACAGATAAATTTGATCTTGCATGAAAGTTTGAACGTGGGGATGAAAAGTTGCAGTTACATTCGGCAATTTAAAGTAGCTCTACTCGTCACACTCAGCATGATTTTTGTAAGACCTTCTATTGCACTCCCGCGAACTTAAGATTTCAGAGCAATACCCACCCAGTTTTCGCAAAACTTATGAATGATTGCTGAACCACATCGGCTACAATTCGTTCGTCGCCAGTCATGCTGAAATTGCCGAGTGCATATACTCCAAACATGTAGGGGTACTCGTTTACATGGGGTGAACCTGAAACATTGTCAATTTACGTAATAAACCGTTTGCCATTTTTAAAGGTGATATTAGTGCACATTTAGGCGTTCTGAATTTTTATTACCATTGCTTGCAACTTCGCTCTTTTATTTTTACATAAAATTTATAATTGGCAATTAGCAGATCGCTTTGGAAAGAAAAGCTTTACACCATCTCAACAAAGCTCGCCTTTTTAGATAAAAAGTGGGACAATTTAATCCAACTTTCCATCGTGAACAGCTTACATTCCGATTCAGCATGACGAAAAGGTCCACGCAGCCAGTACCTGGGCCCGTAGTAATCCCCAAGTCGTCACAACGCAAAGAAGGCGAGGTTGTAACCGCCCAAAACGAGTCATGACTTGGGCACGAC